AATATAGTAAAAGAGAAAGAAAGGTAAAGAGGAAGGATTATGGAGAGAGTCCATACGAAGGTAAGCATTAAAGAAGACAGAAGTAGACAGAGATGAAATGATCATTCTAATTGTTAGATTGCTAAAAGTCATGTAAACTAGATTCACACCCATGTTGACGAACTTAGGAATGCAAGAAAGAATTCGTTCTAGTTGAACATCTAACAGATCAGAGAAATGTGATGTCTTCAACGTTTGATAGCAAATCGTTTCTAGGGCCGGGCAATTACACAGAAGATGAGTTATTGTTTCTTCATCCTCCTCCTCATTCTGGCAGCTTCTACATAAATCATTATACTGATTGGTCTGTTGAATTCTCTATTGACTAGTGCGTAGACTATTGACAAGTCAATGGATTAGTCTAAAGATTTGTCTATAAAATGGACTAGTTTATGGACAAGTCCATTGACTACTCTAAGGATTAGTATATTTTCTAATATATATATTGACTATCCTATTGACCCTTAGAAATATTTAGGAATTTTCTCTAAATGAAGGACTGTGATTAGAAGAACATTAGAATCTTGAAAATCCGATCTCGGAAAAGTAGAGATATAAAACAGAACTAGTATTTTGGAATTAGTTTTACTTGTTTACTTTACTGGGGACAATGTTTGTTCCATTATATAGATCCCTTTATGACATAAGTAAAAGCATTAGTACACTTCGATCAATTACTCCGGCTCCTATCCAAACTGACAAACTGCATACGAATAAAGGAGTTTATTTTTCGGATATTCACTTCGTATAAGACCTTTAGTTCGTGTAGAAATTAGCTGCCTATATTCCACTATGGACGGGCCGTGACTAGGAAAATAAGTAACATTTTCTAAAGAGCGTTATGCTCTTTAATAATGAAGTTCCAGTTTTTGCAAGAACTGGTAGTAGCAGGTTGATTACCCGGAATCCAGTACAGCCCTGCTAAGAAATGTTTCGCCATATCAGTCAAGGACCAAGCTTGATAAGAATTTAAAGTCCGTTTAAGAAAAAATTATATCTTAAGGCAATTTATCATGACATTAGATCAATGGGTAGTCAGTTCATGTTGAAAAAGAGTGGTACAAACTCATTTAATTAGCATTAATTTATTTGTTTCTCAAAAAACTGTATTTCTTCGTAAACTTTATTCCGCAAACTTTTATAGGCAAGTTTTTATATTTTAAAAATTCCAAGGGCTTAAATCAAATGTCCTCCTTAACATGGTCACTACCTGTCACATAAATACAAATAAAAATTTGTTGCTTTACTTGGGTGTCTCTATTTGTTTAATTTATTTATTCCTTTACTTTACTCAGTCTTTTTTATTTTATTTTAATGGTGTTTTATGGTAATGAAATTTTTTGTTTTGTACTTTATTTTACAATTCTTGTGTAAAATCAGTTTTGTTTTTTGTTTTGTAGTTTATTTTGCAATTGTTTTTCATTGTTGTAGTGCAAAAAAACAAATAAACAAAAATAAGAAAAAAATATCAAAGTTATGATTTAACTGATATTTAACTTGAAGTTGCTCACTATACAACTACAGGTATAATCGTAGACAATTGTAATGTAATTTTTTTATTATTAATTTTTATTATTACATATTTTTTAAAAGTTTTTTTTTTAGTAAAAAATCTATGACGAGTATATTTCCTTAAAAGTATTTTTTATTGTATATTTTCTAGTTTTTTCATAAGTTTTTTTGTGAACTGCTAATAAATGACGTTATGAAATATTATTATACATTTATTTTGGTTGTTGTTAACAAAAAAAAAAAAAAAATACTACTCAGCTGTAGTTGTGTGTGTGTGTGAGCCAGTGATTTAATGTTACAATTATAAACTCATTTGAAATTTGTTTGTTTTTATTTATAAAAAAACATTTTCAGTTGAATTGTTAAACGTACAAATTGGTGAAAATAATTTTGTAGTGCAATTAATATTTGCACAGACATACACACATACTTATGCACACATTTCAAGTTTGTATAAATGGAATTTTATAAAAAAAATTAAATTTGCTTTTTATATTATATTTATCTTATATAATTTTTTGTTATTATTCTCTTTTTTTGTGGTCTAGAAACCATAAGAAAGTTTATTTTGCTTTTTTTGGAATACTTTTTAAATTGGGTTATAATTTAAACTTGTTTTTTTTTTTGTATTTTATATCTATAATACTTTTTTAAAACCAGATTAAACTTTGGATTTAGTTGAAATATTTTATAGTACTTTTTAACCCAATTACTATTGTTGGTGCATTTTTAAGACCTAAAGAATGGCTGTGACTATCTCCTAATTTCAATAGATTTTCTATGGGATAATAGTTTCTAACGAAAGTTAACTGAAGTTAAAAAGTAAAGAATGAAGATAGACGTTTCATATAGGATTATGAAGAAAAGTTGTCAGTTATTTACGAAACCTCTTATGTTTATTACGAATAGCAATATGTTAAAGACTTTTGAACATATCGCTTATTTATAAAAAGTATAATATAATCCGAAGTTCGGTTTTTTGGAGTATGACAGTCTTGTAGTAAATGAGCGATAAGTAGTCTGAGAGAAAATTGTTTTAACGAACACTATGGTAACACTGGACAATAATTTGTAATTGATATTTCAAAATTACACTTACATAAATACTTTTAGTTGTAATTGGTTAAAAGATATTTTACTGGTTAGATTCGGATTACACCATCACATGCTCTTTTGTATTGCCTGCCGACCTCAAGTCCAAACAATTAACCCTCAACTTGACAGTTAGACTCAACGTTACTGGTGGCTAAAATACTAATTATATCAGTAATGCGTTTATTTTAGGAAATGTAAATTTTATTTCAGGCTTCGTTGACCACAGCTCTATCATTCTGCATTTTGGCAAAAGGTTGACAGCTTAGAAAGAATGAACGATTTAAATCTCGAAATGTATACTGATCGAGCCAAGACTTCTGTTGGTATGGAGGCGGTATTTAAATCTACTGTTTTAATAGAACGGTTAGGTTTTTAGGCTACACGATCAACGACTAAGATTTTATAAAAAGGGATCTAAACTGGTTGAAGATGATATACAATAAAAATATCCGAATTTGTACTGACAGTAAAACCGCAAAATGGTGTCTACACGACTTCCAAAATTATTTGCGAATGTTGGGCATTTCTTAAAGATATGGCGAACTATTCGCATATAGAGTTTCTTAGGGTATTGAGACATTCAAATTTACCCAGGAGCAACATAACGATCGAAATCTGCCAAAATCGGATACTGTCTGCACGAAGAGGTTATCGCCACAATAGTTCGTGTTGCTCTCTTATGCTGTAAATGTCTTATACAACGAAAACTTTACACGCCTTTCATGCCAGACAACTTGAACGATATCAAGGCTGATCTGGCATCTGTACTATAGTCGAAAATCGCTTAGCTTGCTGGGGATCTTAAGAGTGGGGCTATGTTTGTTGATAACTATCCTGGCATGTACTTTATAATAGGTGGGCATGTAGGGAGAAAAAATCTTCTACTTAATGACTACTGAGAACAATATAGAAACTTTTGAGTATTATATTTATCTTTGTACTGCTTTGTCAGACATTAGGACTGAGATCTTGTGCAGTCGAACATTGCATGATTGTTGGAGCCTCAGTATAGTCCTATTCCATATTGAACAACAACATGCGTCGTTCTATGGAAACTATTTATTTATACACCAGCCAGATCTGACACGATGAAGGGTGTTTAATAAATCGACGCTTATACAAGTTCAAACTAAACTACATATGTATGTATATGAAATGGCTTAAACTTTGAGGTCAATCTGGCCTCTGTATGACGCACCTAGGTAAAGTTTACCGTTAAGCTTATGTAGGGAGCAGATAAGAATGTTTTACTCAATATAATGATAATTGTAAAGTTGTAACGAAAAGGAGGAAGAGACGGTATTATTCAATCTGCTATTGTCTGACATTTACTGAGACAAGAGAGAAATACTTTCTTTGAGGAAAAAGATACTGTCTTATTTAGTCTGCTATTAGCCGACATTTACTGAGGCTTTTCTTTTCTCTTAGGTATGGACGAGATATCTTGGAGATATGGAGGAGCTATCCTAGACTTCATATATGTAGCCAGTTGGTTATAGTTGTAATACTATGACTACAAGGGTATCATAATGAGATCAGGAATTAAATGAACTCAATGACCTCCTTAACGAGTGACCTTTTGAACTTTACCTTACTTTATTTATTAACAAAAATACATCATAACCACATAATTTGCATAATCAGCAAAACAAGATAATTTTTATCCCAGAACCGACATTTCTTTCAAATAGAGTAGAGAATATGCCTTTAGTACACTATTTAACCCGCAAGTTTCCCTCATTAAAATGTTTAATTCAAAATAAAATTTTAACCAATCCATATTCCTAAAGAATTAGCTTTGCATCAGTTAGTCTCCAGTGCAAAATTTTATTAAATATTGACCTGAAAACCTATTACAAATATTGTTGTAAAATGCAATGCTTAAACATTAAGAAATCCTTCAACATTGGGTTTAAGGAATCATAAATTTAATATCAAAAAAATCTACTCAATTCATAAAAAAATTTCGTTAGTGTAAATGTCTATTATACAATTTAATAATAATAAATTGAATGAATGATTCAATTTATCGATAAGAAGATTAAATAAATAATTGCTCACTTGTGTATTAGTCAAAATTTATTTAAAACAATAAAATGAAAAACTAATTTCACTGGAAATGTTTACCAAATGAAAAACTCATTTCAGTATAAATGGTTTCAAATTTAATACCAGTAGAACTAATATTTTCTATTACTGCCAAATACTTAAATTACTTTAACTTTTGCCATTTAATTAATACATACATATATAAAAAGTAAACATTTACATACATACATAATTTGAGTTGAAATGTAAACATTTAAATGTTACAACAATATAAATAAAGGAAAAGAATGAGAACTACAACTTACCACGACGATTGAAGGGTCGCACCCTGACAGCAACTTTGATCTTATCCGTTGACATTTTGAGTATTAAATAAATACAGTTTGATGATGACGAAGACTGACGGCAGACAGGAGAGGGAGAAAGTTGGAGGGGAAGTGTAAGATGTGGTGGGGTGGGTGGTAAAGTAGTTGTTAAAGAATTACCACAACTACTACCACTCTTTACACGTAACGGCTATAACTATACAACAACACTAATCCTTTACAATCCAATTCAATCCAAGTGTGCAGTTATTAAAAGTTGAAATTATTTGTGTGTAAAAGAAGTATTAGATTTGCAGGCATAAATGATGATAAGAAAGGAAACAGGCTGCCCCTGCTGAGTGGGTGGTTTTATAGTTGTTTTGTTAGTTGGCTGCCTGACGGTTCGTTTGACTGTTGGGTTGTTTGATAAGCTTAGAAGCCACTATTGAATAGTTGAAAAACAAGTAGACACGAACACGTAATAAAATTTTACACAAACACTCATTCACTCACTCACTTAGCAGCAACTTTTTTAAGGTAGTACGTGTAAACGCGACAAAGACGAGACTACCACAAATACGTATATTTATAATATAAAATAAAATTGTATACTATTTAATTTCAGTATTTTCCTTTAGTTTTCTCTATTTTTTTTTTATTATTATGACAATAAGTAGGACGATAGATTTTGATAGTTTTTCTTTTTATGTTTTCCTTAAGTTGGGTTGACTGGTTGTAGTATAACTTCTTTTTTGCTTTTTCAATTTTAGTTCTTTATTTATTTGTTTGTTGTATAAATGTCTGACTGACTCAATATTTCGTTAGTTAGTTCTGTACTTAGTTGGCTTAGTTTGCCTGATTATGGATGGAGTATTTTCTTTTATTTTGTTGTAGTTTTTTGTTTTTGTTGATTTTAAGTTTCCAACTTTAAAAAGTGTCGCTCGTTCGTAGAAACACCCAGTTGTTAAGTATTCCAATATTGTGGATATTTTTGGCTTCGTGTGGCTTTTTGCTATTTTCTTTTTCAGTAATATTTTTCAAGAGGATTTTCAATTTGTTTGCATTATTGTTGTTGGGTTTTTAAATATTATTTTGTTATTGTTAGTGTATGTATTAGTTTACAGGAAGTTGTTTTAGCTAAAAACACCAGACGTTTACAGCAAAAAAATACAAGAGTTGTTAAAGGGTAGGAGGCAGTATGATATTGGACTTTTTCTTTCTTTGTTTATATTTAAAGTTTAGCAAGGAATGCTTTTTTACACGCACCTGGTATAGACCATTTAAAAAGGAAATGACTGTGTGCGTTTAGTTACGACTTGCGGTCTAAAGTACAAAAAAACAAAAGAAGTTGTATTAAAAAATAAAGAAAAAAAATTGTATACTTTAAATGAATGAGTCAATTGAAGCCCGCATACGATTAGCTTTCAATCAATGTGGCTATCAAAAGACTTTGGAATTTAAGAATTTTTCATTAATTATTTTATATGTTTCCCTTATTTGTTTATTAATTTTCCTTTTTATTCTTTTAATTAAGGCTTTTATTTGTTTATTATTTTTATTATTTTATTTATTTTATATTAGGCTTTGTTTTTTTTTGTTTATTATTTATTTGTTATTAAATGTAAATTAACTAAGTGTATTTGTTGTTAGCATGTATGTTGTTTTTACACTAACTAAAGCAGAAAACCAAGGAATTTATTCATTATACAAGATTATTCTACTTTTCTACGTTTATTTCACGTTAAAATTATTACAGTTCTACCCATAAAATGCCTTTGAAATTGTTTAAATACCAATATTATTGCCATAAAATAATAGCTTAGGCCTATAAATGTTTATCCCAAAAACTAAATTATACATACGTTTTTAAAGGACTCAACTTTGCTGAACCCAACTAGTACTAAAATATGTTCAATAAAACCCCCTTTATACGAGCACACAAGCAATAGGATCTGTCAAAATTTTGTGTAGAAGAGTACGAATGGGTTCGTCTAAACGCAATATATAATGAAACCATAACACATTAAGAAAAATACGGATGCAAAATTTGACAGTCGTATGGCTCTCTTCATTTTTTGAAATTATGTATTAAAAAAACAAGCAAAACGCATTAGATCAGGAAAGTATTTTTATGTAAACACGTACAAAAAAAATCAAACAGCAGTCTTACTTTGTTATTGTTTTAAACCAATCGTGTAAACACAAAAAATATAAATCATACGACTTTTATTATCTTTTTTGTCATACGGATGGAATTTCATTTTATTTTTTCATTAGACTTTACGTACGTAAAGTGTAATCGTCTAAAGAGCCCTTAAATAGTATTAACTTCTGCCAAAATGAGAACTTTTTAAAAGTAAAAGTAGGTACTAAATAAGTTTTCGAATATTTTATCGGATAGCAATTCTGTAAACTGGACTATGACTCGTCAGTAGACTAGTAATTTTAATATTCTATGGACTAATCTATGGAATAGTGTATAAATGGAATCATTTATGAACTATTCTATGCAATAGTCTATTGAATAGTTTATTGTCTAATCAATTGTCTTGTCTATGGACTAGTCTATTGAATACCTATTCTGTTCTATAGTATATAGACTATTCTATGGATTTGTCTATTATCTAGTCCACAGTATGTTGTTTAGTCTATTTCCTATACGATAGACTAGTCTAGCATATTCCAAAAGCTGATAATAGAGCATTATCGGTCATTGCTGATCTGCCTATAAGGCCCAATTACGTAAATCGTTTGAAATTTAATAAATTTCTTTATATAAATCTGTAAATTTATTGCGATCGGTCCACAATTAGTCATTAGTTCTATAAAAGGTCTGGCTTTGAAAAATATTTTAAATACCATACAACTTTTCAAAACATCGGTATCGAAATAAATTTGAAAACAAATGAATCATAAGCAAACAAAGAAATCATATTACATATAGGATTTTGATAATAGATACCTATTTGTTTTTAAAAAACTAATCTTATAAATGACATCCTTACATTAGAAAACAAATTTAATAAAAATTCCTTTAAATTTCTGGTCAAAACAAAATAGAAACAAACGGCTGTATATACACATGATAATGATGTTGTTAATGTCAATGATAATAATGTTTAAATGACACGCTAAATTCCGTTATACACACTCATATATACGCATACACACCCTTCAAACATTTAGAAGACAAAACTATTGCGCATCACCCCAGACGCCACGTCAGAAACACTTCTGGACGATTGTCAGACGAGAACGCACATTTTACAAAAACAAAATACATTGATTTCGAATTTTCGTCTTCTAGAAATATACTTTTAAGTTACTTCCGGATGATCGTTAGAAGAGTGCATCCATTTTGCTTAAACAAAAAACCATGACTGTTGAATTTTTTTCATCTGGAAGTATACGTTTTAGTGACTTCTCTATGAGAGTTGGGTGAGAACACACATTTTACAATAACAAAATACATTGTTTCCTAATTTGTATCTTCTTGATTTGTATGTTTATGTCACTTCTGGAAGACAGTTTGAAGAGTGTTCACATTAATGTTGTATTTTATTCATCTGGAAGTGTGGATTGTAGTCACTTCTGGACGATTGTCAGACGAGAGCACACATTTTACAAAAACAAAATACATTGATTTCTAGTTTTCGCCGTCTGGAAGTATACTTTTAGGTTACTTCCGGATGATAGTAAAAAGAGTACAAAAACAAAAAAATATAAATACTCCATTTTTTTAGCGTGAACGCGAAAAAAATAAAAATAAATAATGCAGAAATTTTGCTAAGTTCAGTGATGTTTTGCGTTTTGTCCAGTCATGTTCAGTTTTAATTATTCATTGTAAAACTTAAATGAGTTATTGAGTTTAATGTTCATAGAAAAATAGTGTAATTAATATATTGTAAATCTTAAGAAAAAAAAAACAATATGACAGTGTTGTGTTAAAAGTAAACTGTTAATAAACATTTAAGAAGGTTTTGTTAATTGGTGAAGTTTATTAAATTAAATAAATAAAATTGAAAAGTAAGTTGTAATATTTTACATTAAAATAGTACTATATTTTAGGAATAAGTTAACAACTCTAAACGGCTTCCATTTCCATTATTTTTAAACGAAGTCTAATATGTTTAATTAAAAATGTTTTTATATAAAATTTCGTCTCTCTCTTAATTGGTTTAGGAGTTATAAGCATTTAAAGACTTTTTCAAGTTGTAAGTTTCGGCTTTCATTTGATGAATATTGCATTTTTAACCTATTTAGATTTATTTGAGTTAAATCTTAACTTTCAATATTTTTTAAACTATTAGCGCGTTTAGGTCCTTTTTCTAGATTACGTATGATCACTTTGAGCTAAAATTTTATTTGTATTTCATTATCGTAACCAAATACATTAAAATTTTTACTTAAAGTATTCAAACGCTATCTGGAATCATTATATTGAAATTAATACTACTGTTTTATACATAAATTATTTTTTGACTTGGGTCACTCGACACGAAATTGCCCATATAAGATATTTAATATTGAAAACAGATATTTTTAAACCCACCTTTTTTTAAATAAATACAATTTTATTAATTTTCATATAGCTTTGGATTTAATTATTCTAATTATAGGTACTTTTTTAGTTATTAACACCAGGTCTTTTTCAATGACCTATCATATGATACTAATATTCTTAATATTGAGCATGCCGTTCCCAAGATATTACCTAAGTAGATAGTTTTTGAACGTGTATAACTCCTTAATTAGAAGAGAGCAAAATAGTATTGCAGTATTAGTGTCAAAAGCAATATCCCGTTTAGGGTCGTTAAGGTGTTTCTATCGTTAGTGACTGTAAATAATTTTAAAAATAATCCATGGCTTAGTAATTTCAGATCTTTATAGATGGTTTAATTCCAAGTTATTTAAAAAATGTTTATGAAAGGTAATGTTTTTATTGATTAAAAACAATAAATAAATAAATTAATTTTTAATTATTTTATTTTTTTAGAAAGTAGTAGCTAATATTGTACCCCCTATTAAAATACTTCTAACCGAATTAAAATATAAAAAAGGGATCTGGTAAGTTATATATGTCTTATTTCATCACGCGGTTCCATTAAAAATGTCGATTATTTGCAGAAAATGTAAAAAATGGATCTGAACGTTTAAATTTCGGTGGGAAATGTATTGATCATAAGAGAATCCTATTTTTATTGCTTCCTAAAGTATAACAGGTAATTTCAATAAATACAAAAGTATGTATGTATATTAAATATTAATTATAACATTATTTTTGTTTACTTCGTTGAAGGATTAATGCGTTCCAAAATATAACTCTTACAATTTGATGGATTGATCATAAAATTTATGAAGAACTACAAAAAGAGTCCAACGTTTTACAATTTTTGGAAGTATACCAGTCAACAGTTGGAATATTAATACAGATTTCCTGAAAATTATCTTATTATAAGGTAATAATTCTAAATTGTGGATACATATGTACATTAAACCGACTCACTATGTATGGAAAGCAAAAACGTGCTTTTGTTACCTCTCTCAAAATTTACCTTGCTTTGTTTTATGATGATTCCGAAAATATTTAAAGTCTAGCGATGACCGTTCGTGAGCTGGACCAAATTAAAAAAGGTATTTTGGAATTATTTTTTTTAATTTTTGTTTGTTTTGAAACAAAATATCCAATACGGGGTATCGTTTAAAAGGTATTTTAAAGCCGCGTCCAATGATGTATTAATCATAAATAACCGTCTTTTTATAATTGTCATATTCCAAAATATTTAAAATTGTTAGGTTTTTCACTAAAAAAAAATAAAATGTATGCACAATTTTGCGCACCACTAGACTTGGCTTCAAAAAACCTTTCAAATGATACTACATACTATAATGGACAACACTTAACAGAAAATATTTTGGGTAACATCATATTACATAACAGCGAATATTATGAGGCACCATTTTTTGTGAGTCGGTCTAATGTACATACATATATTACTTTTTTTAAATTAGTTGTTAAATCAATTATTTTTCTACTATTTTAATTTCAATTATTTCAATAAAAACTATAAAATTTCATTTTATTTAGATTTATTTTTATAGATTTTATTTTGGTGAGTATACAAATAGAAGAAGAGAATACTCTTCTTCTAGAAGAAGAGAAAACTCATCTTCTAGAAGAAGAGAAAACTTATCTTCTAGAAGATAAGATAGGAACACTTCTAGATGATACTAAGTAGTCACTTCAAGAAGTGACTTCCTATTTACATCTAGAAGAGTCTTTGGCAATACCTTACTTCCAAGAGTCATCTAGAAGTTTCTTCTGGGGGTCTTCCAGAAGTATCTTCCACGTTACTCTTAGACGTTCCCCAGCTCGGCATCAGTTCTTCCCGACTGGTGACAAGAATTCGTATACTTCCGCAACATCGCTGGCGAGCTTTTAGCACGTTTGGAAGTTTCATACGGGTAACTTCCGCAATAGAAAATGTTTGTAGGGCAAACTCATTTTTGTTTTTCATTCATTCACAAACACATTCACTCTCGTTTAATTCCTTCGTTTGTTCATCGGTCGGTTCATTCAATCACTTTGTTTTATTGTTATTTTTCATTATTAATTTTTTTTGTTGTTCGTTGAAAACAATAACAAAATACAAAAAATGAAAATAAAATACACAACACAAAACCTTGGGGATGAATAAAGGACATTCGTTTGTTGTTTCATTTAATATTTGAAGTTTACATTTCATTAATAATAAGGAAAAACTAATAATAAAACAAATATATTTTAATTAATATTTTTCCAACTTTTTATAGGTACTAAATTTTACATTATTTCCGTAATTTTTTTATTTCATTTCTGTATTTACTTTTTTGATTAGAACATTTCATTTGTTTTCCTTGATTTTTCTTTGTTCATTAATTAACATTTATTTTCACTATTGTATTTTATATACATTTTCGCTTGGTCGTTTTTAAATTTATTTTTGCTTTATATTATTTACAAAAAATATTAAACAGTTACATATGTATATGAATTATAATATTTTTTTATTCCATATTAATTTGTTTCTATACCACTTCACCCACTTCTTGTTGTTTCTTCATCCACTTTCGCGCACATATAATAAACGACTGACTGGAGTGTGTGACTTTGTTTTTTTCATTAGTAGAGATTTGAGACGTATTTGAACTGAAGATTTCTTTGGACAATCGATTTTTATCGCAAAAAAATTTTTTTCTCCACTGATTTTTTCTTTTAATATTTATTGGTTGATCTGTAAGACTTTTCATATATTTTTTAATACAAATATAAAGTATTGTTTTAGCAAAATTTTATGTTTATAGTTATTTTAATTATATGTTTAATTTTTTGCAATTTTTTTAACAAAAATAAATTTTTTCCAGTCAGCAGGTAGAAAAACACTTGATACGAGTCGCCATATTTGTTAATTACTGTCAGTGGCAAGGTTGTAGAAAAGTGTACTTTTTGTATTACAAAATAGTTGGCAACGTTTGGATTAGAGTTACCAGAGGTAAAAATGGCATCAGTGAAAACTGTTGTATCGACTATATGTCGACCATATATTTCCAGTTAAAACGGAATAAAGTCTCGACAATCCTGGATGATAAATTGCTTTCAAGTGTTCATTAATGTATTATGCAGTGTTGTCTTAGGCTAAAAGTCTCCAAAAATCCCAATTTTTAAATTGAAATCCCCATAATTTTCCTCAAAAAACATCATCATCATGTCTCAGCGAGACATGTCTCACAAACTGCGCCATCTGGTAATCAGTGTAAAATAAAACCAATAAAAAGTGTCTTTGATAAGCGTACAGTTATTTTTTTTAATGAAACATAGATGGCGCAATATAAGAAGGTTGGCAACCGTTTCGAAACGGTGATAGGGTAACGTTATCGGTATTTTAACTTATTTCGGTATTGGTATTTTGGATAATTTCGGTACTGATATTTTAGCGTTAACGGTAGTGTATAAAAAGGATATTTTATAAGTAATTTCAGTATGATTTAAATAACTAACAAGCATGGAAGTCGGCCATGCCCGACTATATGATACCGTACACCATGGGTATATTTTAAAAATTATATATTTTTCATAAAGAAACTTTTACGTTGAATTTTAACTTAATTTCGATGCATTAAAATAATTTATTGATGAAAACCAAAATTTGTAAAAGAGGCTTTATATGATAGTTAGAGTCAAAAATTAGCCAATCCTCAACAAATTGGGAAGAGGGATTTAGTTATGCTGAATTTTATCACGATACTAATGGTTATAAGTCAATTTTTGGACGTTTAAGATATTTTTTAAAGGGGGGAGGGGTTTGTATGGGGGCTAGGTTCAAACGACGGACGATCATTTTAAAAATTGCCATGGTCATTTATACCTATATAAAATTTTTGGTGAGATAGTAGTATGTTTGACGTAGTTATGAGTTTAAAATCCCAAATCGGAAGGGGGTAGGGGCTGGTTGAAATAATGGACCGATTTCAACTATTTTCAATAGCCATAGTCCTTGTGACAAAAAACTCGTATGGTCCAAATTTTATCAAAATATCTTGAAAATTGTGGCCTGTAGCTTGCGAACAAGGTTTACATGGACAGCCAGTCGGATAGACGGATCGACTCAGAAAGTGATTCTGAGTCGATGGGTATAGGTTAGGTTAGGGTTAGGTTGATAGGAGGATGTATACTACATCAAATCCGAAGAAATACACCTAGGACACTATGGGATGGTGCGCTCCTTTTCATGAGAAAAAATGTGGTGCGCTCCTTTTCATGAGAAAAAATTGTTCACTGAATGTATTATTTTTCAATGTTTAGAAACTCAGTTTCCTGGACGTAATTCCTAAGAATCTTCCAATCAGTGTTAGTCAGGAATGTTATTTCCGGAATAACATCACTTCCAACATACTTGGGTCTAACTTCGACGAATGCCTGACAGTGGCAAAGAAAGTGCCCCAGAGTTTCACTGACCTCTTCACATGCTCTACACTCGTCTGAGTCCGCACGTCCAATTTTGCATAGATGTGTTAGCAATCATGTGTGTCCACTTAGAATACGTACCATCATACTAGCTTCAGACTTGCTCATTTTGAGGAGACTTCTCGTCTTGTTCTCATCAGGGTCACCCCATAGGATCTTTGTGGTTCTACCCACCGTTTCATTATTCCAAGATGCCTTATGGGATTCTCTCACCCATATTTTTAATTCAGCTTTTGTTGCGTCGAATAGTTTTGCGTTTGCCAGGTTAACTACCTCGAGCTCCCTTCCCTTTAAAACTATTACATTCGCCCTTTCGTTGCCAACTACTACCGAGTGGCCTAGTACCCATATGATGTGAACCTTACCTCTGGGAGAGTATTTAGTTAAAACTTTCTTACAATCCAATACGGTCTTAGATTTAATTCTATCACCTGATATTGCCCTAATTGCCTTCTGGCTGCTGGCAAATAGGCGCCTGCTGTGGGCGCCATATTTATTATAATCCAATTTAAGCATTCCGTTATTGCTCGGACTTCTGCCTGGAAGCTTGTGTTATGATTAAGTAAACGGTGGTATATTTTTGTTCCCAGGCCCACCTTGTCCCCTAATTTGGAGCCATCCGTTTAACAACGGATTCCTACTAGTATCTTCCACTTGACAAAGACATTCTATCTGGGATCAGCGTTACAAAGTTTCCGACATATTCTGTGTCTGGTATGCGATCAGGCACGTCCGATGATTGTGTATAACCTTCCAATGTGTCCAGTATACATTGATGAAGCTTTTGGCCAGTTCGTCTAAAGTAAAGAGCAGTTCGGCTGTAAGCGCCGCCACATGGCACCACTTATATCCAAGCAGCATGTACGCTGAACTCCATGTAGTAGTTTGATATTACACTTTTTTTAATTACACTTTTATAAAGCCAATTTGTCATAGTAGGACTAGGACCCCTTTTCATGCCTATAGTTTTCCTACATATCGCCCAGCACCGATGTGCCTTGTTGATCTTATCCTCTATGTGGTGTCTCCATTTTAATTTCCGGTCGAGGATTACACGTAAATACTTAACTTTGTCTGTCACCGGTATCTTCTTGTGCAGGAAGCAAGGTTCAGTATACGTAGAAATTTTAATAATGAGCGTCCTTAGGAGGCTATTAATCGTGTTAACCCAGAGTAAAGGTGACAAAATGCCACTATGTGGTATACCGCGAAATACCTCGTACACCTCGCAGCTTATCCATCTGTTCCTTAGCATGTAATTGATCCGGTTAGATCGGTATACTTAAAGGTGGGTATAGGACCACTATTTTTATAGTGGTGTAGGCTGGTTGGCTGTCCATGTTAACCTTGTGCGCAAGCTACAGGCCGCAATTTTCAAGATATTTTGTTAAAATTTGGACCATACGAGTCTATTGAAAATGGTTGAAATCGGTCCATTATTTTTTTAATAAAATATCGGTATTGGTATTTTAGCGTTATCGGTATTTTGGCTTATTTCGGTATTGGTATTTTAGCGTTATCGATATTTTAACTTATTTCGGTATTGATATTTTAGCGGTAATGATAGCTTAGCAATAACGGTTGCCAACCTTGTTAAAAACATAAATTCTCTAAACGGGAGAAATTGTAAGCAGGGCATAGCAAACAGATGTCTTTAAGTTTCCAGAATGTCAAATCACATATGAAAAAAATTTTACATTTATTGTCGCTCGCTGTCACCTTATCATTCAAGTTGCTATGAGAGTTACTGCGAACTGCCGGTCCACACTAGGAAACTCTTTTTGGGAAACTTTTGATTTTGCGTGAGAGAGAAAGAGAATGAATATCATTCATCGAAATCAACGAAATCATCACACATTGAGAGAAAATACGGATGGAAAATTTAACAGTCGTATGGCTCTCTTAATTTTTTGAAATGATTCAAAAAACAAGCAAGTCGCATTAGATCAGGGATGTATTTTTATATAAACACATACAATCGTGTAAACACAAAAAATATAAATCATACGACTTTTATTCTCTTTTTTTGGCATACGGATGGAATTTCATTTTACTTTTTCATTAGACTTGTCGTACGTAAAGTGTGATCGTCTGAAGGGCCCTTAAGGCGACTTTAATTATAAAAACAAGTAAGAAATTATAGTCGGGTGAGGCCGACCATATAATACCCTACACTTTTGACAAAAATATAATGTGACTTATTTGCCATAATAAAGCATTTAAATTGAATTTTACCTTGCCTCAGATGTACATACTTAAGCCGTTTATTGTTGAAATTTTTTTAAGTGAAATTTTGATGGGGGCTTTTCATAGGGGCTAGGGTTATATGAGGACCTATTATTATGGAATTCGTGAGGGTCATCAAATCTTGTATAGAACTTGGTTTTTGCAGCTTTTTTTCGAGATATGAGTATATTAAACATAATTATGAACTTAAAAGCCCTATTCGGCGGGTTCAGTTGTATGGGGGCTAGGTGAAATAATGGACCGATGTAAACCATTTTCAACTGGCTTCGTTTACGGTACTATAAAAGATCATGTGCCAAATTTCATTGAATTATCTCCAAAATTGTGACCTGTAGTTTGATTACAAAGTTTAAAAGCCCTATTCGGGGGTTCAGTTGTATGGGGGCTAGGTGAAATAATGGACCGATGTTAACCATTTTCAATAGGCTTCGTCTACGGTACTATTAAAGATCATGTGCCAAATTTCATTGAATTATCTCCAAAATTGCGACTTGTAGTTTGATTACAAGGTTTACAAGCCCTATTGGGGGGTTCAGTTGTATGGGGGCTAGGTGAAATAATGGAACGTTCTTAACCATTTTCAATAGGCTTCGTCCCTGGGACAATAGAAGATCATGTACCAAATTTCTTTGAA